TGCTCCTCAGAAGGTCAGCCCTGTTGGAGTTCTAAAGATGCTTAAATCCTAGGGTAAATGTGGCTGAAATTTAAACTAGAAATCCTTGCTCTATTAACCCATCAATGCCTTTGATAAAAATGGCTATTCAAATAGTTATACAATGCAGATGTTAATGGAATATATATTTATCAATTACAGTTAAGGAAATGACTGGATAATGAACAACATAAACTGATGAACAAACACAGATCCAGAGACAGAGAAGCATCGATCAGACCATCAAACCTCATAGGGAAGGCAGGGGAGGGTGGGGGTAAGGGGGGGAAGACCTGGGGGGGAAAGATCAACCAAAGATAACCAATGGACACAGACACCAGGGGGATGAGGGCATGAGTGGGGGGGATGGGGGGTAATGTGGGGATAAGAACACATATGTAATAACTTAATCAATAAAAAAAAAGGAAATGACTGGACTCACACATAGAATACTTCCCAGGCATCTCTATGTGCACCCTTTGCCAGGCACTAGGAGTACATCAAAGCACAGTTTGGACAAGTAGCATACATATTTTGCTGTTTTACTATTTTGGGCTAGTCTTAAAACACATGAAAACTTGCTATAGCTTCTGATTATTCAAGACATTCTCTTTTTTTTCTTACATCAAAAGTCTACTATAACCTATACACTTGGAATAAAGTAGGTCCCCAGTATGTGTTAAATAAATAAATGAAACAGATTACTATGAGAAAAAATGTCCAATTTGACTTTTTTTTTTTTTGGTTAAATCAAGAATTTTCTTTTGTATCACTGGCTTCTGTTTCCTACCGCTTTCAGCTTAGGTAATTAATTCCACCTCATGCGATTCTTTCCCCAGGCAGGACACACACACACACACACACACACACACACATAATGCCCTTTCATATTTATATAGTCCCATTACCCCAGGATGGTCTTTAACTAGTTAAATCAACTGAACCTCTTCCAAAGTTTCCTTTAGGATGGCCACAAAAAGTAAACCCGTATCTATTTCCCTTACCATTCTATTGAACCAGGTTTTCCTTAAACATCAGTTTTTATGATAAATAAAAAAATAAAATAAACATTTTTATTTAACTACTTAAAATTATACTTACCTACTTAAAAATCACATTTGCCTTTTCAAAGTCACTATTTAATTTTCAAAACACAGTATTTCAACTGTATCTTAATCTGCAATATCAGAAATTGTTTTTTTGTAAGAAAAATACATTTTGAGTTTTAAATAACTTTCAGACTTTAAATTATTTAATGTCACTAATTCATCTAATGAAATGTTCCTTTAGCATATTTCACTCCAACTAAATGCTATAGTTATACAAATCAGCTACCAATTTGAAACAAAATAGATCCTCTATTTTTCAAAGTCCCAAGTTATTTAAAATAGCTACTATAGTGCATTAGAAATAGAAATAAAAAAACAGGTGTATATAATATTGTTCAGGGAAGAATATTGTTACTGGATATCAAATATGGATAGATTATTATATAAAATATTATTGCTAACCAAAATAAATCTAAAAGTGTTTAAGCTATGGTTTCAAAATTTATAGAAAAACATTAAAGAGGTATAAAAATCTAAATTCATAATAAAATAACTAAGTGAAAGTATAAGCTTATATAGAAAAATCCACGGTATGAGAGAAAAAATAAACACAATATATTGATATTTGTACAAAATTATTTAATATTCTTTTATTAGATCTAAAAACAAAGTTAATTTGGAAGAATATTTCTTTGCTAACATTGTATTTATATTAAAAATTGACTTTTTGGTTTATAATTCCATCCTTTTTATTTTAAATATTCTAGAACCAAACTCAATATTATGGTAAACTTTATAAAAACAAACAGCATCACACATAGTCTATATAAAAAGTTATTCTACTTTACATCCCTTATCCATAGGCACATTAAGAACGACAGATACTCACAAAAGACAAATATCTGTGGAATAAAAGTTGAATAACTAGATAATCCTGAGAAAAGTTAAAGTTAATGCAGAGTTCAATCTTCTTCCTGCTTATCTAGATCACAGTGGATGCCATCTTGATTAAACAAGGTATTTGCTTCCACAGGTGAGAATAGCAACACATAGCATACTGTGACACAGCACATCAGAACTGAGGTTAACCTGATCTTTATGACAGAGAGATATCAATGTGCTCAGGATACAGGCACTTAAACTATTCTGAAGCTACCTGCCAAGAACTACTTTGAAATCACACCAATTTTCTTGAGTTTCTGCTTACAGAAATTAATGTAGGATGTAGAGAGTAAAAATGACCTTACCAAATTTTATATGAAAATACTCTTACGTGACATTATCTTTCTGCCAATATTCATTTGGGAGCAAAATGAATTACATTGCTTGAAATAAATATATCCATGGAGTTTGGAGTGGCTGTAAATTATTGGAAGTACTGTGTGCTTGCTCAGTTTTAACCTTGAGGAGTTTCTCAGCCACAGAAACTTTGGAAAGTTACTCTGCACAGATTCTGACACATAGATATTTCTGAAGGAAAAAAATAGAGAAGGAAAACAACCAAAGGGAAAAAAAAAGTCAGAGAATAAATCTGCTGTGCAAAAGTCTAAGCTGCCCGCCACGAGCGGATGAAATGAAGCATCCTGTGCTTACAGTGTCACTAGGGAGAGGAGGAGCTCAGACACTGTGTAAAAACTGCTTCCAGAAGCGATGGCAGCGGCTGCACAGAAAGGCAACCAGCTCTTGCTTGTAATTAAACATGATCTTCTACACACTAGTCTTTTTGTAATTTCAGCTTTAAAATTACGTTGCTCAAAATTTTCAGGATTTGCCATTTCAGAGCGGCCTAAAGACAATTAGCCAACTACCCCCTTATCTCTGAAACATGCCCCATCTAATAGTAACTTAGAATGGGTCAGATATTAAAGTCAATCTGGTTTGGTTAACTGTGGGTCCAGAATTACAGACGTCAATTTTTCTAAGAGCAAAATTACAAATCTCTTTTACTCTCTGCTAACGTTTTTAAATATCTGAAGAGCATACAACTTCTAGTTGACTCTAAAAATTAATCCACTAACAATTAGAAACAGCTTTATTGCAGCTGAATTCCTCTTCTGATTACAAGGAAATGCATATTTCAGTTTTGTTTTAATTCATTTTTTATAAATATACTTGGCTGTCTTTTTTGTGAAAATGGCTCTTCCGCCTCAAAGTTTTATTTTTATGCTATTAATTTATGACAAAATGTGCAAAACTTTCTATTACATTTACTTTACCAAAATAATATAATCCTATGTTGTAGTACTTGGGAATTCCTTAAGTTATAATGAGAGTTTTAAAATCCGCTTTTGTGAATGATGTTAAACTGAATATTATATTCTGAATTTGTGTTTATAAAATGCTATTGCTGTAGAGTTACTGTTATAGTTTTGCAATTTGTAAAGAGAGCAAAAGACAGGGATTCCTTTCAAAGGAGGTTCCTCAAGCAGAGAGGAATAAGAAGCCAGTAGGGTATGGTGTAGTATAGTATTAAAAATATAAGCTTTTGTGTTTAAACCTGTTCTACCAATTAAGAGCTGTGTAACTCTTGGCAAATTATGTAACTTCTTTGAGGCTTAGTTTTCTTATTTGCAAAAAGGAGGTATTTCCCAGGGTTCCTCAACCTGCTTCTGTACTAGAGAAAGAAGCCCATTAGGGTAGGAAGCTAGGCAGGGAATGGAACTCAGGGTTCGTTAAATACATGATCTAGTTGTATGTTGTATTACTTTTTCTGTGGGGCATATACCACTGGTGGGTAGCACAATAATATTTAAACTTTATAGATCAGCCTGATTCTGACACGTAGATATTTCTGAAGAAAAAAAATAGAGAAGGAAAACAACCAAAGGAAAAAAAAAAGTCAGAGAATAAATCTGCTGTGCAAAAGTCTAAGCTGCCCGCCACAAGATATACAACTAGATCATGTATTTAACTAACCCTGAGTTCCATTCCCTGCCTAGCTTCCTACCCTAATGGGCTTCTTTCTCTAGTACAGAATCAGGTTGAAGCTCACCAATGGTTCCTCTTCCCTTTCTCTCATTGTCACAGGTCAACTGGAAAGGGATCAAAATGACTACCCAGCAATTAAAACTGGCCTGCTGGGTTACATTCATACGTCAATCTCAATTTTATTCCTTAATCTCAACTACTATGACTATTTTAAGCCCCATGTGTCCTGTTGTCTGGTGGCATTCAACTAAATCCTTTTTGATTGATTGCTCTTGAGTCAGGAAATATAAACATTTTTCTCATTTAATCCCTAATAGTTTGGGTAAGGCAAAAGTTGAACATATTTTGGAGGTAATGTGATGAGACAGTATGTTATAGACACTTTAGTACCATTACTTATTAATTATGTGACTTGGGGCATTATCTCTTTGTACTGAAATGTCTCAATTATCACCTTAGTCATCAACTATAAATAAAGAGGGTAATGCTAACCCACAAAATGTTGTGGTGACTTTAGGTTCAGGCTCAAGACCTGGTCTAAGTAAGCACTCAGTAACTGTTTTCTTTTCCTGACTGTCATTACTTCTCCCATTGTATTTCTTATCATGGTTTGAAAATACCGAGGAAAGTTATTTAAATGGCAGAGATATTTTAATGCCATTATTTTCATTATCTCATAACATATATTAATATTTGTCTGAATCTTGAATTTTTAAAACAATAAAATATTGCCCTATCCAGCCCCATCCCCTGAGAGGAGCTAACTGTTACATCTTCCTTACTCTTGTGGATGCTGCCTGGAGAGTTTGACACAGGAAGTCTTAACACCTTCAAGCAGGTCCAAGGGTCATGAAAGAACAGACCAGGTACCACGCCCCATATTCATCACAGCATTCCTATGAAAACACTGCCAAGTCACCCGGTGTTTGGCACAGCATAAAAAAAGAGCAAAGACTTCTGCAAGCAAGACACTTAAGTACTGTCATCCTCTTAAGATAAAAAATTATGTAGAAATTTATGTTTCTAAAAGTTTATTTTACAGTATATAAAGGGGAGGGGCACATCGGGCTTTTCAATTCCTGCTGCCTTGCTATTCGTTTGAAAGAAGAAATGACTATAAAAGCTCAGCAGCTGATGGATAAGTGAAGTCCAGGCTCCCTGGAAAGGGTGGGAAGAAGCACATCCTGGAAGGAAGACACATTCCTAAGATATACTTGTACTACATGAGGCTGAAACTTTGCAAACACCCTCAGGCAACATAAAAAATATGCTGATCTATAAAGTTTAAATATTATTGTGCTACCCACCAGTGGTATATGCCCCACAGAAAAAGTAATACAACATTAATAAAATATAACAAGTTATCCTGTAAAATGTAAAGGCAATTAAAACAAAAAAGGCTTTGTCTTATTTTCTCATAATCTGAAGTTATGAAAACCCCACAAAGATGTGGGCCACTGAGAGTATTAGGATCCTTTTATAAAAGGAATGACTTTGCAATAAATGGTTAAAACCCATGCACCATCTCTCCACTAAAGCTTCTAGTTAAGACTTAAGAAGATCTTCATTCTGAAGAAAACAATTACATTTTTTACCATTACCATTTAAAAATTACATGTTTATAGAGACATTCCAATGGTGGCATAATTAAGCACAACTAACTTCATCATAAACAATAACTTTACTGTACACAGTATGTTGGTAAAAATATACATCATACCCCAAATCCTGCCTCACAGAACTCTATTGGCATTTACAAAAACTGTCCACAATGTTCTTTGGACAAATAATCATAGCCACATTCATTTTGTATTTTAATATCTACTGGCAATTATAATACTTCATTTATTTTTGTTTATGAAGTTTCCAAACTTTTGCATAAATCCTCGAAACTTGTTTTCATTTGGCTGATATGTGTGGTAAACATTAGTGTTGTAAGCAAGCCTTGGACTGGACCGACCATAGCTATTGCCCACAGTTGTGGATTTTATTTCTGGGCGGTGTATACTGCTATTTGACATGCTGCTTGTTGGCTGAATAGAATTCTCAATCTTACAAAATGGCTCAAAACGACTGTAAATGCGCCGGTCAGTTGACTGAGTTCTTAGAAGCTCAGTGGGCTGTGACCTTACAGGAGGAGCTGGTTTTCTTACAGGAGCAACAACTCTATTAATCTCCTTCGAATCTCGGTATTGGATCTGTTCTGTGTTAAATCTTGGGGCAGAGGCATCCCCTGGCCTTTCTAAGAACTTGTTTTCAACTGGACTTGGAGAAGGCATTATTTCATTACTTTCATCGGGTGGAGAATTTCTCCCCTGAGAGGAGCTAACTGTTATATCCTCCTTACTCTTGTGGATGCTGCCTTGAGAGTTTGATGAGGAACCACGCTTTCTTCTAGGAGACAACTCAGCTTTCGGTTCTGACTTTTTGGGGTTTTGATTCTCTTCAGCCTCAGAAGCCAAAGTGTCAGAACTACTACACATTCTATAAAAGGGAGATGCTTTATTTTTGGATAAATTTTCTTTCTTTTCTGGGCTAAGGCTAAGTAATGACCTTAACTTCTGAGATCCCTTTTTCAAAAAGCTTGGGGAACCCTTAACTTCTTTCTTTGAAGTGAGGTCTTTGTTAGATTCCTCTTTATTCACATCAAGCAAAGCAGCGATGGAAATGGACTTGGTAGCTGCGCCACTCGGAGGGTCTCCCTGGATCACCTCCTCCTCCTCTTCCACACTGTTGGTCACATTGTGCATGCTTTTAGAACTTTTCAGCAAATCCTCTTTGGGTTTTACAGGCTGTCTAATTCGATTTCTGGTAAGTGTACTATAAACATAATGCTTATTATTTCCATGATCTAAATTGACTTTTGAGTGGTCAAAGAATGGGAAACTTCGCCTTTTAAGCAGATTCTCGTTTTGTTGTTGATTCTTTAGGTTTTCTGTCTGCTTATTTACACACAAGTTTGTATATAAATAGTTGCTTGACTCTGGATGGCCATCTGTAGTTTGGTTTAAGACTGCTGAGTGGTTTTCGGGAGTCGGCAAGGTGTGCATTTTTGGCGACTCTGCCTGCAATGGTAGCTTGGGGATGGATTCTGGCAAGGGTTCATCTGTCAACTGCTCTACACTTGTAGGGGTATCTGGGACCTCCTTGGGTGTGTCACTTCCCTGGGAACCAATGATAGTTGAATTTGAAGAGCCAGTTGTACAACTATTAACTTCTTGCTGCTCAGGTAAAGTTGGTTTAAACACTAAAGAGGGACGAAGCCGCGGATGTGTATAAAGGGTGCTGGCTTTCAAGTTCTCAGAACTGCCATAGTTCTCAAACCGGTCCCCTAGCGCCGATCCATTAGAATCAGGTGCAGCTTCTGAATGATCATTTAAGTAGGATTCGATCCTCCAGTTACGCAGGAATGACTTCGTGGTATTTTCAAGGGTTGGCATTCGTTGTTGCAAAAAGCGAACATGATTATCTGTCCCATTAAAAGACCTCCGCACATTTGAATTCCTCTCTGCAAGATGCGTCGTTTTCCTCTGGGCAAGCCAATTGCCAAAACTCTGGGCAGGGGTGACCTGGTGGCTCGCATAGCCTCCCCTGGACGAGGATGCCACACTCAGACTATCTGAAGGCTTTTTCCAGTTACCAGGAGGATTGATGGTTCGATTCATGGTCCTGTTCAGCAACAGGTATGACGCCGTTTCTGGCTGTTCCCCGGCATAACTGTGCCTCTTCCAATTTTCATTCTGACTGGGCTGATACTGACGGATTGCATTTGGACCATTAAAGTTGGGAACAAAATGAGGTTTGTATCCAGGATTCCTCATGCTATATTTGTCATGTTCATTCCGAGCGTATATCCCTCTGTTTTTGAAGTAACTAGCATCTAGGTTATGGATTTGGTCTTGTCTAGCAAGAAAGTTTCTTTGGCTGGAAACAGAGGCCAAGGATGAGAGTGAGCGCTGGTAGGTGCCGTTCTCCCACAGGGCTTTGCTGTGCTTCACCCTGGCTGATTCTTCCTGGGCGAAAGGACTGGGGACACAGGACCTGGCATAGAGTGTCCTGAATTCTTCATCAAAGGACTCAACCAGTTGTCCTGTGATGACCTGAACCATGCTGAGGTGAGCTTTTTCAAATGACCACATGTAGCTGGAAAAAAAAAATCAAAATTAGAACATTTTACATTGGCTGAGTTAAAAGATTAATGACAATATATATATATATATATATAGCTCTTCTAAGAAACATGTGTGGGTTAATGCCAACATTGGCTGAGTTAAAAGATTAATGACAATATATATAGCTCTTCTAAGAAACATGTGTGGCTTAATGCCGACAAAAGAGTATTTTTTGTTTGTTTTCCTTGACTACCATAATTTAGAACATCTCCAATCATTACATGCTTGTAATACATAAGCCACCCCACTCCCATATTCATATTTTAAGTAATAAATCAACTCAAGTTCTGGGTTTGAATCCACCCACAATTCTTTATAGTGTTTATAAGAAGTCCAAAGAAAAGTCTGCTATGCATTTTGGATCTCTGCCTGCTAAGATTTTTATGGAATAAAAAAATGATATTATATTTCATAGATAGCATCCGGGCAAGGTCAAGGCAAGCTAGTGCCACAGGAAAAGTTGAGAGAACTGGTTTCTGCTGATCTCTCTAGTCCCATGAGCTGGAGCCTCAGTCTACTCTTACCCAAAATGAGGACAAGAACAGCATAATCACTACAATTCTTTATATTTTGAACATTTTATAATGCCTGATGGGCCTATGCAAATAGGATGTGGGGCGTTGTAAACTGAGAGAGCGTTTGTGGGCAGTAGCCTCAGTTATTAGACAGTGCACACAGTGTTCTCAGGATTGATAAATTTAATCCTCACAAACCATGCCGGTCAGAATGCCAATTCAGATCTTCTAATACAGGTACAATTTCTAGGAAAATAAATTTGTGACTACTTTATAGTATTTTTTGGAACTTCTGATCTCTTTTTCAGAGTTTAGAGCAAACAGTTACCTTGAAGCTTCATGTAAAATGTTAAATCTGACATTTGAACATCTAAATAATTAACATGCAGAGTCACTGAGCTGGAAAAGAAAGCACTAATATGTTATGTATCAAATAATTACATGATGCAATAGGGGCTAATACAAAAAAAAACTATAGAGACATTCTCCACAATAAAGGACTTTGGTGTTTATAAAGGGGGGACAATAATGAAGGCAGATTAAATTATTAAAAGAATGTGCAGAGTAATAATTTAAAATACATTAAATACTATAAACAGTAGTGTGCAACTTAATTATTCTGATATGCTTAATGTTATCTAGAATACTTATTGAATGATGGTATGAGTACAACATTTACTACATGTTCTTTATTTACACACTAGAGGCCCGATGCACAAAATTCATGCAAGAATAGGCCTTCCTTCCCACAGCTGCTGGCACCGGCTTCCATCTGGCACCCGGGACCCAGGCTTCCCTCCGGCTTCCAGCAGGCACCCAGGACCCAGGCTTCCTTCCGGCTCCCAGCAGGCACCCGGGACCCAGGCTTCCATTGCAGCCCCGGCTTTTATTATTATAGATGTGTTGGCCATCAGGCTGACTTAAAAGAAATGGTGCAAAACTGAATCATTAAAGAAATTTCAATCCAACTGAAGAAATTTCAATCCAACTAAAATTTCAATCCAACTGAAATTTCAATCTAACACTGAAGTGTGTTAGAAACAGCAAGTAAAGGAATGAATAGTCAGCTATCAAATGCAAGAAGAATCCCTGGAGAAAGTGGAAGTTTAGCAATATTTTGATAGAAACTAGACAACCCTGAAGTTCACACACAAAAGGTGTGGGAGGACAATTTGTGTGGAAGAAGAAACATAGAAAAAGGAAGTAATAATGGTCATGTATTGATTGGACACAGAAAACAAATTATGTTTACCTGAAGAAAAGAAGCTATATAAGAGATGGATGAACCTTGAAAGCAAAGCAGAGTTGGATTGTGGAATCTGTTCCCAGGTTTGAACCAATTATAATAAAAAGAGATGTTTGAAGAATGATTTTTTTCTTTAACTAATTGTTGTGTAGACTTGAAAGATGAGGGATTGTATTCACTATGAAGAGTAAAGTAGTTGCAATGAGGTGATAAGAGACTAAGCCAGAGCAGAAATTGGAATGAGTAAAAATGGTGAGCCAGTAACAAGAAGAAAGAATAAGAATATCTGCAGGTCATAAAAAGGCTGTGCATAGGATATAAAAGAATTACCTGCAGGTGTGGAGCTTCGGAATCTGAGAAGATAATGGTACTAATGAATGTGTGGCAGTTGGAAAACTTTCTAGGATTTGGTAAATCAGAAAATACTATTGAAATATAATTTCAGGTAATGGAAAGGTATTCAATTGGAGACATTTAATGTAGAGAGTATTCTCTGGAAACACTGAACACTCCCAGAGATAAAAGATATACTTATACTGACATTTAGGCAACTTCCTATAAAATTTCCAGGACCCTAGCCAATCATTGTTCTGTGAATTCACCTATTGATAAGCATTTCCCACACAATTTCCACTAAGTTCTATAGTCCCTTATTCTTAAATATAAGGACAGTGCAAAAGATAGGCAGACATTAGAATAAAGTTTAGAAGATAGCTTATACTGCTTAAAAGCTTAGATGCAATATAGAAACCAAACCGAACAAACACAAAAAAGGTACTTGGAGGAAACAGAGAAAATGCACAAATAAGAATAAATATGCACATACACACACACACACACACACAGTATTTTCAAAGAAATAAAGAGGGAAATAAGTATATAAAACACACATAGGATGTTAGGAAAATATTTCAAGTAGCAGATATTCAAAATATTTGATAGCAACATCCAAAAAGATAGATATTAAGCAGGAGGAAATCCCTCTGTTAGTAATAATGCCCCCACTACTGGATGGAAAATTACGGGGGGGCGGGGGGCGGGGGCGGGAAATACAATGGGAACAGAAATCTAGTTAAGAATTCCAGAGACAGACAATAAAGATAATTGAGGAGAAGACATTGTCAACGAATAAATGAGAAAACTTCTCAGAATCTAAAGACACAACTATTTGGATTGCCCGGAAAAAAGGCCTATATCTAGAAACATCTTAATAAATTTGAGAATAGCATGGAATAAAAGGGAAGTCCTAGGCCCTGGCTGGGTAGCTCCATTGGTTAGAGCGTCCTGAAATATTAAGTTTATGGGTTCAATCTCCTCCCAGGGCAAATACAAAAATCAACTAATAAATGCATAAATACGTGGAACAACAAATCAATGTTTCTTTCTCTCTCTCTCCCCCTTTCTAATCTCTCTCTTAAAATCAATAAATTAAAAAAGAGAGAAATCCTAGACACTCCCAGAAAGAAAAAATATATAAAGTTACATGAAGAGAATTTGAAGTATAATTGTTTGAGGCTTCTTAAATAGCAATTTTGAATGCAGGGCAATGCCTTCCAAATTCAGAGGAAAAAATGATTTAAGTTAGAGTTTCATCGCCAGTTAAAACATAAATCATCTGGAATTATGAATTTTTGGACTTAAAAAATTCCTATGCTGATAGAAAATGTTCTTGAGCAAATTTGAGAGAAAAACCATGACTGGAAACAAAAACGAGTTAAGAATGGGATTAAAAGTAGGATTTTAAAAACTGTAGCTCAAACTACCTAAGAATATAGAAAATACCAGGACCCCAGCTGTGCTCATTAAAGACCTGTTAGTCCAGACTGGACATCACAGATTGTTGGTAGTAATTGAGCATCTGGAAAAGTTTGTGCTAAGAATTCTATAGTTAACTGGAAAAAAACAAAAAACAAAAAACAACTAATAGAAAACAAAGACAATGAATAAAACCAAAACAAAATGGTCATTGTTCACATTGTTATGAAGGAGAAAATATATCATAAATCACTTCATCACTTATCAATAATACATTCTGACACAATTTCAATAATGTAAACCCAGACTTCTTATTTAACCAAAAATTATGATAAACTGTATAGGGTGAATGGGAATCAGGAGGGCAAGTGGATATGAGTGGGTACAAAATACAACTCTTCAATTGCCACAATATAAAGTCAAAAGATCATATCTAAAAGTGATCGGTTTAGCCTGGCCAGGGTGGCTCAGTTAGTTGAGCATTGTCCTGTGCATCAAAAGGTTGCTGGTTCAATTCCTGGTCAGGGACATACCTGGGTTGTGGGCTCTATTCCCTGTGGGTCACATAAGGAAGGCAACTGATGGATGTTTCTCTTTCTCTCCCTTTCCTTTTCTCTCTTCCTCACCTCCTTCTCTCTCCAAGCATGTCCTCGGGTGAGGATTAAAACATAATAATAAAGTAAAATTGATAAATCTAGAAATAGCAGTATAATCACATTATTTAAGAGAATGAAATACATATCAGGAGAACTAGCTAAAATAATTAAATAATTGCCCAACTGGCATGGTTTGGTGGTTGAGTGCTGACCTATGAACCAGGGGGTCACAGTGAGATTTCAGGTCAGGGCACATGCCCTGGTTACGAGCTCATTCCCCAGTGCAGGGGTGTGTAGGAAGCAGACGATCGATATTTCTCTCTCTCTTCCTCCCCCTTCCTCTCTCTCTAAAACCAATAAGAACATATTTTTTACAAAAAGTCCTGGCATGGTTTGGTGGTTGAGTGCTGACCTATGAACCAGGGGGTCACAGTGAGATTTCAGGTCAGGGCACATGCCCTGGTTACGAGCTCATTCCCCAGTGCAGGGGTGTGTAGGAAGCAGACGATCGATATTTCTCTCTCTCTTCCTCCCCCTTCCTCTCTCTCTAAAACCAATAAAAACATATTTTTTACAAAAAGTGGTTCAAGAACTCTGAGTTCCTGATTGGGGGTAATAAGTGAAGTCCATGGAGTGAAAATAGTGACAGGTTGTGGCATGGATTTCTAAATATGATGACTGGCAAGTCTGATCAAAGATGGCATCTTGGAGCCAATAACTTCAGTGAAACTTCACTTTAATGAAACTTTTAGAAAGATCATAACATTTACAAAGAGTTTATCAAATTCTCTCAGTCAATTTTGTGGGTAATACTAAATACCTTCCAGATTTTCATATAATTTCAAATGAACATATCCAATTAAAAAATTTTATTTACACACATTGATAAAAGTATGTATTTTATCTCATTAATGTTAGGATCATGATATGACAAAACACTTATGTTTTCCTAATAAAACCATCACCATGGTGAGGGAGCTGTCACACAATGTGTGACTGTGGTTAGTACAGACACCAGACCTATCTAAAAATGCTGGGAGTTTAAAATATGAAGACTGCCCGGCTGGTGTGGCTCAGTGGTTGAGCATCGGCCCATGAACCAAGAGGTCACACAGTTTGATTCCTGGTCAGGGCACATGCCCAGGTTGTGGGGCTCCATCCCTAGTAGGGAGTATGCAGCAGGAGGCATTTAATTGATGATTCACTCTCATCACTGATGTTTCTATCTCGCTCTTCCTCTCCCTTCCTCTCTTTGAAATCAATAAAAACATATTTAAAATAAAAAAAGACAAATATTGTATAAAAATAAAATATGGAGACATTTTATGGCAAAGAATTTTGACATAAAGAAGGCATTTTGAGTTTGCCTATGAGAAAATCAGTGACAATTACAGAATGTAAGAGACAAAGGATGGTTTTAACCAAAAGGAACTAAAAATTTTGATCAGTTTCTATGAAGACTGGTTCATATCTGTTCCACCAGATCCTGTTAACAGTAGGAAAGTTTCATGATAATTAGTCAGAAAAAAACCCAAAAAGTGACAAGGGCTGACAACCATTAATTTTTTTAAAGAAATATATTTAAAAGTAACATAATATCATAAAGAGATAGAGTTGTTAGATAAGAGTTTTGATGAATTTGTATAATCTGTGGTCCTAGGCATTCCATATCCACTTCTATAAATGATGATTTTAATTCTGCCTCTGGCTTATGATATACAGTGGGGCCTTGACTTACAAGTGTCCCGATTAACGAGTTTTTTGAGATACCAGCTGTCTCTCGGCCGATTTTTTGCATTGAGTTGATAGAGTAATTTGAGTTAACGAGCTCCTTAAGGAGCTCGGTCTCGGAATGAATTAAACTCATAAGTCAAGGCCCCACTATAGATAGAACGATAAAAGTTTTTGTTACTGTTGTTTGTTTTTCCCAACATCACCTCCAAACTAGCTCAGCTAGCTGAAGGCCTGGGGCAGGGGGGTGGGGGCGGGCTAGAGGGCGTCAATGAAGGAAAAAGGGGGACATTGTGTAATACTTTCAACAATGAAGAACTATTTTAAAAAAATAAAGTAGCTCAGTTATAGTCATCTCAACATATAGCACCTATTAACACCAAATGGTAGCAAAACAAAGTTCAGGTGAATTTATTGTTGAAAGATCATCTTAAAAGTCAAGTTAAATAATAAAAATGGAAAGCATTCATTATTATGAGATTAACTAATAAACACCATTCTATAAGTCAAGTGAACTCCCAATTTTAATTAAAATTTCAATTAAAACCAAGTAGATCTGAACAAATACATACACATATAATGAGTTTTTAAAAGGACTCATTAATTTTAAGCACTGGTTGTAATTTCTGCTCTCCACACATTTTCCTTTAGAACTCCAAACTACATTTTCCAAAAAAGATCCCCTAGAAAGGAAAGTTGGCAGATAACAGTTTTTTTAAAGGCCTAAAATAATAGGTAACATTAGAGGTTTTGGATGCATTAACTCTAATTCTCATGACAACGGCATGAGGTAGTTCTATGATTATCCTCTTTACAGAGGAGCAAGCTCAAACGCAACCACATTAAGGAACTTGCCCACAGCCTTCCACTTTAACTTGTTGCCTCATTCTTGCGGACATTTTAAGTTCCTAAGGTTTCCTCTCACACTGTCCTGCTTACATCCACAGGTCTCCTGGCTTCTTGCCACAGTCTTTAGTAAGGAGTCCACTCTGCCCTGATGACCTGGCAGTGCATACATGCTTGTTGGTGCTTTCCTCTGCCTGTTAATATAGCCTCGCTGTGTATCCCATTAAGGACCGATGCCTGAAATTTATCAGAGAATATGAGGGCAGCACTCACACTGTAGAGCCAGTGGGATCTGGACTGTGCTGCCAGTCCTGGACTGCCTGTGGTCCTTAGCTGTGAGGTTTTAGACACGTCACTTAAACTCCTGGAACTTCAATTTCATCCTTTATAAAATGTAGATAAAAACAACAGCCTTACAGATAAGCTGTAAGGATGGGGTTGAAATATATAAATGAACTAAGCTGGAATAGAGTAGATATACCACCAGTGGAAGCCTCTAAAGATGCCAGAGAGTAGAATCCGAGTAACCTGTCTAGTGTCTACTATGACAGCCAGACTCTTAAACGTACTTTTTGGTAGTATTAGTGACTACATGATAATTATCAGTTTCTCAATAGTGATGAAATAAGAAAAATCTGTTCAACAGGTTCTTAAAAAATGATAAACTGCTTCCATTAAAAAAACATTTTTATTGATTTTTAGAGAGGAAGGGAGAGAAGAGATAGACACATCAATGATGACAGAGAATCATTGATCAGCTGCCTCCAGCACACCCCACACTGGGGATCGAGCCCACCACCTGGGCATATAGCCTGACTGGGAATCGAACCGTGACCTCCTGGTTCATAGGTTGATGCTCAACCACTGAGCAATGCCTTCCATTTTTATGAACAATTATTATTAAGTCCATACTATGTACTGTTTTCATAAGGAACAAAAACACATTTAGTATTGTGGAGCCATAGATAAACTGAGATATCAGTTAACCCCCTCATTTTGGGGATGAATAACTTGAAGCCAAAGGAAGTTATGGGATTTGCCCAACGTCTTAATGTTCTTTAGAGGTACAGTCAGAACCGAAACCCAAGTCTCCAAGATTGTTTTTATTTTTTATTTTTAAGAAATAACTAAATAGATTACATTAACATTGGAAATTAATAGTTTCTGTAAATGATTGATAACAATGCAGGTAAACACAAACTAGGCTATTATTAAAAAGACAAGAGATAAGTGTTGTGCACTCTTGGTGGGAATATAAATAGGTGCAGCCACTGTGGAAAACAGTATAGAGGTTCCTCAAAAAAATTAAAAACCCAATTACCATATGGCCCAGGAATTCCACTTCTGAATATTCATCTTTAGAAAACAAAAACACTAACTCAAAAAAGATATCTGCATGCCCATGTTCACTGCATTGGCTATATTTGCAACTTGAAGCCCAGTGCATGGGATTCATGCACTGGTAGGGAGTATGGCCTGCAGGGATCCGCCCGCTGTGGGAATACTGCTCATCCCAGTCAGTCGAGCTGCTGTGGACTCACCCTCTGAGCAGCTGCTCCTGCTGCGGAGTGCAGCCGCTCAACCTGGTCAGCCAAGCGGCACTCCCACTGTGGGAGCGCACAGACCACCAGGGGGCAGCTCCTGCATTGAGCGTCTGCCTCCTGGTGGTCAGTGTGCACCATAGCGACTGGTTGACCACTCATTCTGATTGTTCTGCTGTTCAGTCACTGGGCTTTTATTATATAGGATAGCCAAGATATAGAAGCAACCTAAATATTTCTCTTTTATTAGTGTAGATAGCCAAGATATAGAAGCAACCTAAATGTCCCTCCACAGATGCATGGATAAAAAAGATGTGGTACATATATACAACAGAAAACTATTCAACCATAGAAAAGGATGAAATCTTGCCATTTGCAACAACATAGGATGGACTTGAGGTCATTACACCAAGTTAAATAAATCAGACAGAGATAGACAAATACAGTATGATCTCACTTATATGTAAAGCCCCTGTTCCCCCTCCAAAAAAAAAGTTTACAGATACAGAGCACAGATTGGTTGTTGCCAGAGGCAGGGAGGTGTGGGATGGGTAAAAAGGGTAAATGTGTCAAAATGTACAAACTTCCAGTTATAAACTAAATAAGTCCTGGGGATGTAATGTACAGTATGGTGACTATCTATATATATAAAAGCCAAGTGGCCGGAAGGACAGAACGACCGGTTGTAATGATGAACACTGTGGCAGCCAACTGGCCAGATCATCCGATTGCCCATCCCCGATTGCCCATCCCCACCCTGATTGGGGGTGAGGTTGGCGGCCAACCTCCCGCATTTCTTCTCCCCTGCCAGCCTGGCCTGATTGGCCCCCATCGGGGCTGGCCGACTGGACCCCACCTGTGCACAAATTTCTGCACCGGGCCTCTAGTAGTTAATAACACTATATTGCATATTTAAAAATTGCTAAGAAAGTAATCTTGAAGGATTATCCTCATCACAAAGATAAAAAAGTTTTTTTGTAACTATGTATGGTGATGGATGCTAACTACACTTATCGTGGTGATCATTTAGCATTATATACAAATATTAAACCATTATACTTGAAACTAATATAATGTTACATGTGAATTATAACAATTAAAAAAGAACTAAGCAGATTACACTAAAATTTGAAACTAATAAATTCTATAAATTATTATTAATGTGGGAGATGAACACAATGATCTTACCTGTAAGAACCATACATAACTTTCTGGCAGTCAATTAACAAAAATTTCTGTTCCAATTTTCCATGAAATTTGGCTCCTGTTTTTGAAAGATAATCTTGGCCTTTTACTGTCCGCACTCGAATATTCTAGAATTATACAAAAATATAATGTAGAAATTAAGGCTAGAAAGGGAATATTTTAAAAAGTAAAATATATGCTAATATAAAACCTTAGTACCAAAAACAGTGTACCTGAAATAATTTTTAAACACATAACCAAAGACAAATAGTGAAAAGCAACTTTTAAAACACCACCCAAAAAAGAAATAAACTAGGAAAAGAGTAATTTAAGATACTACTTTACATTTATATGGGATGGTTTCATAAATCACTTAAGGGTCCTATTGCAAGATCCTTTCAAGTTATAAATTCATAATGTCCAAATAACTAATATTAAAATGCACCCGCCTTTTAAAAAGTCAAATGGAACTGAAATCACTGTGCCAAATGATTGTGATAAGCAACACCTGCTGCATGAAAGAATCACTGGAGTCAGTAGTTTCAAGGTTGTATATGCAAAACAGAAGCATTAATTATGACTGGTAGCAAAAAAAAACCTCAGAAGCTCAAGTGCCTCACTATCAAGAAAAGCACCATATACATTTGTCATAAATATATGTGCTTTCAGTTACATTCGAAAAAATACAAGGGACCCTTTAATGATCAACCGTCATTCTACTTTAAATTATATATGTATGTATTTTTTTCTATTTTACTTTTGGAGTAATATAGCTTAACATGTCTTAAATTCGACTGAGACAAAAAATAGTACACAAACTATCAAAACGGTACCTGAGGAAAAAAACATGGAATTCTTACCCTGAGACGTTGAACTTGGCAACCCTGCTTCTCAGTCATATTTAGGAAATGATTAAAGTTGGATTCATCAAGCAGAATGTATACAGATACCCCTCGAGTTGATGCCTCCACTATTTCTTTGAAAATGTCCACATCTGTAAACATGTCCATCACTAAAGCAATGACCTGTTAAAAATAAGAATAGCAAACAATGTTAGATACCCACTAGGAAAATATCTAGAAATTGGTGCTTTCAATAAAAATTGGATAAAATAGAAAATTAAATACATGTATAAACAAGCACTTGTGTTTTCTAAAATAGAAGGTAAAGGATGAAAAGAGTCTGTTGAAAATAAACAAAAATAAATAAGAAATTAGATAAAATGGAATGACCTGGGAATAGACACATGGCAACAACAGCCAGGATCATGGATAGTATATTAAGTCATTTTATTTACTCTAGCAAGATGTTGAAACAAAATACTGGACCATGCATAAATTATACAAGTTGATGACATTCTCTAAACTAACTGTGAAACATATTTGAATTAGATTTTCTCCAGGTAGAACAATTTCAATCATTCTAGTGGCCTCTCATGATCCTTTTCTTATTTATAAATGGAATAAGGTGCTAGAAGAAGGGAGATGCTAGTGTTAACATCACTCATGTCTTGTGAATATTCTTTAATCAAATATGTGACAAACTCTCAAATTACATTCACAATTATTTTTTATTATTGATACTATTACACATGCCCCCATTTTTCCCCTCTTTGACCAGCTTCACCTAGACCCTGTCCTCACCCGCATCCCCTGGCCTTCACCACACTGCTCTCTGGGATTACGCTGCATTAATAAGTGGTGTGACAATGTATAGGCACTGAGATGAAGAAAAGAAAATGCCCATATTATAAACTTACTAGAGGCCAGGTGCATGGATTCATGCACTGGTGGAGTCCCTCAGCCTGGCCTGCACCCTCTCACAATCCAGGACCCAGGTGGGGATCGGGCTGAAACCAGCCGTCTGACATCCCTCCAAGGATGTAGTAGTGTGCGAAGTGACAGGTGATTGGGGAGGAGCCCGAGCCTGGGCCAGGTGCTAGGCCGCTCCTGCTCATTCTGGCCCCGCTGCACCTGTCACCACCACTGCAAGGTAGTGCTGCCACGGAGGCAGGAGAGGCTTGCACCACCGCAGATGCGCTTGCCAGGCATAAGTCCAGCATCTGGCGCCCATTGGTCAGCTGAGCGGCGCTCCCACTGTGGGAGTGAACTGACCACCAGAGGGCAGCTCCTCCATTGAGTGTCTGCCCCTGGTGGTCAGTGCGCCTCATAGCAACTGGTCAACCAGTCATTCAATTGTTCGGTCATTCGGTCATTCAGGCTTTTATATATATAGATTTTACAAAATAACTCTTAGAAGTGTATGTGTGGAGTAGTCTGGCACCAATTTTTTTAACTTGA